TCACTCCAAGTGCTTTGAATGTGGGCTCCATGTATTTCGTGACATACATTCCAACGGACGTTACCGGTCAGCGCGTGTAGAGGTCAGCGGACCTAAATTGGAGAGCAACGCCATGCTAGCGGGGGGGGCATTGGGGGTACCCAATACCGCAAGAAAAATTGGGAAATACCGAAATACCATGTCAAAAATCGACGAAATATTGATACCGCATTTATTTTCGGTCACGATTACTTAAAGTTGTATCCATCTCGCGTGTTTGTTTATCTCAAGGATTTATGGACCAGCAATCAACCTCAGCCATTGCGAGGAAACGTGAGACGACCTCGAATTGGTCAGCACAACGATCAAAAAGGATGCCCTACCAATTTCATCATGGATTATCTGTCAGAAATTGTGTAATGGTGATCATTTACCATTAATCTAAAGTCTTAAAAATACTGACGTGCATTAGACAGGAGAGCGCAATGAACATTCCCGCAATACTGTAAAGGATCTTCTTTTACCGAATACCGTTAGCCAAAAGGATGAAAAACCGCATTAGGCATACCGCAGGGGTAAATGATACCACAATACCGCACTTTAAAACCCAAATTACCGAAATAACACTTGAAAAAAAGCTCAATACCGCAATACCGTAAGCCCCCAATTCCCCCTCCATGCTGTTGAGGAGGTGATAGAAAATTTGGGCTTAAAACATCCACATTATATTTGATGTTTACAATCTTTGTCAATATTATCATAGCAACAAGCTTTCATCTTTCAATGTTAGTATGTTGAAAGACATTTGCGGGTATTTCGAAATACCTTACAAATCTAGAGATCTAAAAAGAGACCTTTTAGCCAAGGTTTCAGAACTTGTAAAGGAATGTGACTGAGTGCAGCAAAAATAATTTCATTCTGCAACTTTCCTGTGCAAGAGTTTGAGTGCATGGTATGCTGTCCAATTTTATATGACAAGTTGTGCGTAGTGGATTGGTTATTTTCTAAATATCGTAAATATTATTGTGGAAACAAATTATGAAGCATTTTATAAAATGAAGTTGCAAAATGAGTGAGGCACTTTCATCGATTTAAAAATCCTACCCGTAATCTTTTTTTATGATGTCCTCCCCGATATTTGGGTGACCCTGTTCGGCGGAATAGCGGAATACATGGGATATTGTTAGATACGGAATATACGGAATACTCTAAAAAACGGAATATACAGAATGTTCTGTATTTGATTTGAACAGGACTGACAAAAAAGCAGAGGCAAAGAATACTCGGTTGTTTTGAAATGTAAAAGAAAGAAAGCTTTGTACTGCCGTAAGCCACACTATAGACCTAATGAGAGTTTTGAAAGCCATCTTGACGGGTGAAGGGTCTTGTATCACGGGAATCTAATGTCAGATAATTTTCATAAAACGGCTGTTCTAGAAAAAGAAGAATTGTAAACTTAAGCTTGACAGGATTATACTAACAATTAATGGTGGCCGCACCTGCGCCTAAATTTGTCTGGTCGCTTGCTTTAGATTTTCCAGACATTTGTCCGCAATTTTCCTGGGAAATTATAGTCGGCAAGAACGAGAAAAAATTACACAAAACACTGTATATTTTCACGCGGTTGTTTAACCGTCAAGATGGCCTCCAAAACAGTGACTCGATTTAGCGCCCTCCTTCCAATAAGCGCTCCCCCTTTCGAATAAGCGCCCGCTTCAAATGTGTTTTGTTAACAAGCGCTCCCATTCTAATATTATATAAGAGTACGGGTACGTATCAAACGAGGTTCATCTTCATTTAATAGCTCACAAACGAACGGTATTTCCACATTACAAAAACAGTGGTTTTATGTCCATGTGAGTGCATAAAGTCTTCAAAGGAAAGATCTCTTTTTCAAATCTTGTGGCGATTGCTCCGCTGGTCGTTCTGGCGAGGAAGGATCCAGGGACAACAAGTCCGTTTTCCAGTCTCCTTGATCCATTACCTTAATTGACTTGCACTTTGTTCTTACTGCGAGCTTTTTTAAGAAAAGTGACATATAAGGAAGGAAAGTTCCATCGGCAAATGCCCAACAAGTTTCAAGGTAAGTCCCTCACGTTAACTGAGCATTCACCGCCAGCAGTATTTGTTACTGTTTCAATTTCAAAGATTGTTCGTTTTTAAATAAAAATTAAAGATTTTTTTTGAACATTTGGTTGTTTCTTCAAAGAAATAAGCGCCTTGTCCCGAATAAGCGTCCTCCCTTGAGCATGTTGAGGCACCAAAAGGAAATAAGCTGCCTCGGAGCTAAATCGAATCATTACGGTAAGTCAATTTTTACTCGTCACGTGCTTAAAACATGGTTCGAGTTATTGAGGGTAAAATTATATAGAAATGATCTGAAGAGAAACAAAAATTAGTATTACTTCGAGTTAGCACGAGGTTCGAGTCGGTAGCAAGGGTTCGGGTTGTTGGAGTCGACTGCTTTTTAAACGATTTGTCTCTTATCCTGCGTTTTAGAGTATTCCATGATTCCATATTTTAGAATATTCCGTGTATTCCGCCATTCCGTTCCATCATTCTGTCAGTGCGCCATTCCACTGAATAGCGTCACCCCCGAAGTTTTGATGTCCAAGAAAATATTAAACGCGGGGCTAATCAGTGTGCTAAGAATTGAATCTGTTAGCTACATTTTATAGCGCCAGATACTAGTCCTTTTTCGCCACCAAGATGTTCCTCGTTCTCGGGAGCGATAGTACTCTAACATCTCTCTTTTTTTCCCTTGAAGGCAGACATTGGACATCGACATGAATGATTCTCGCCCGAAAAAAAAAACATCGGGTCAGATATCTTTCAATAGACCGCTGGCCAGAAGCGTCGACTCGTGACCCCACGACGCTCAGATCACGCTGAGGCCAAAACGGTGCGGCGGTTCGGGAATTTTTTCTTTTTAAGTCACCATCGCTTGAGAAAAAATAACATTACATTGTTTCACTTAATGCTTTCTGGCCGCGAAAAAGTTGTTTTCCTATTTGTGCATTCGTGTAGATTCCGCCGCAGTTTAGACAAATGACGTGAATGGCCGCTGTCACGCGACGACATTTTCCAGATTCAAGTTTCGTCAGCAGATGGTAATTTTGAGTTATTTTCCTTTTCTGCCTATTTTTCATCTTCTTTTCTCTTTTAATTCTACGTTCTTCTACTTAGGATGGTCTCTGAGCGCCTAGTAAGGATTAAAGTGGCGTTTACCACGCTATCCACTGCCGTATTGGTAACAGAGAAGTGTTTCTCCGAAGTAGCAAGATAACGGTAAACACGATAACTTTGAACGCTTTGTACAACGTCAATATACTTTGGCCGAAAAATGTTTTTCCAGAATCGTAATGTATATCCCTCCAATGTCTGATTCATCACTGTGATTGCTTTCAACAGCGTTGGACTTTTGAGAAATAATTATTTTAAAATCAGCTCCAGAGCTCTATCTAATTTAGTACGCAATATTTGAAAATTTATTTTTTATTCAGTTCCGCAGTTTTTCGATGTTCATCGAATGATATTGCATTAAAAGGCCTTTTTCTTCATCGCTGCGTAGTTTTCTCATTATTTTGCGTTGCGATAGTGATTTCTGAACCGGTTTTTGCGAGGGCTTATTTTAGGCCTGATTTTGCTGCTATCAGACGGAGAAAGTTTGCGGCTCGATATTTTTGGTTTAAAGCGAAACTGAAACAAAAGAAATTCATTTTTGAATAGTATGCGATAACCTCTACTTGTGAGATAAACATCGGCCGATTTTATTTTTTAGCCGGAAATCATCGGTCGTTTCTTAGGCGCAGGGCCTCTTAATAGCTACCATTTAACTAATCCTTCTTGCCATACATATTGTTTTGTTTTATAGCATAATGTGAGTCATTACACGATGGTTGCCAAATTATCATGTAGATGCCTTGTGATCCAAATGCCTGAACACTTGTCTAACACTTTGTTGTCTGTTTACAAGGAGGAAAGCAATGAATTTGCCACAAAAATGTGTACCACCTTAAACCAGTACCCAATATGCCATACCAACCATGGATGTTTGGGTCGAACGAATGCAAGGAATTGTTTGCTGGATTACGAGGATTTTGTAAAGGAAGATCAAATCTGTGTATGTTTGACACGATTGAATTGTCTGGTCATATACAGAAACTAAAGGAATTGAAGATAAAAAACCAAAGTGTGCAATACCCATCTATTGCACCAGACTGGAACAACGTTGAAAATGAAATGATAGAGGGAATGAGAATGGCAGACAAACAAGTCCTGAAAACCATTGAATTATTGGGAATGCTACCCAACCTTCAACAAGGGAACGTCATCAGAAAAGAAAGGAGACAACGTTGTTTACTTGAACAGAGTGGTGGAAACGTGGATTGACTCGAAGATTTTCAACCAGACGAAACTAAGGTAGTAGAAATAGAAGAATTGTTAGATCTCAATAACGGGGTCCTGTTCCAGTCACTGAACGAACAGATTGAAAGTAATCACTATAACATCTTAAGTGATCTGGCAGCAGCATCGTTTAATGAGACTCATAATGATAATGAGGACGAAGGCACTTCCCACGTGGAGGACGACGACGATGACAGCCCTCGAAACTGTGTTTTGTATGGCAAAGGCAAGTGTTTGTATTAAACAAAAAATTACCGTCGACCGAAAGAAACATCTTGGATAGGGTGTGAGTTCCCCAATTGCAATGACTGGTGCAAGAGACAAGGATTCCTACACTTTTGTCTGTAACAAACATTCAGAAGCAACAGGACAATTCCACACCAAAGTTAAAGCGAGTGCCAGGGACCCTGATATTCTCTTGGAAAGAGACTGCAATGCTCCAAAGCTCTTACCAAAACAACGTAAAACAGGAAAAAGTTCCTCGGAACCTGACAGAGATTTCTCTGTTACCTTCATACGTCGAGTTCGAAGGTAGTTTTTTTCACATTGCCGAATTTCTATCTTTACAAGAAGGAAAGGTCCATAGGCCTCAGACGTCTCGTATTTCCAGGTGGATGGCAAGCTCTCAGAGTGACTTTTATGAGCAAATAGACAAACTAATATCACCGGAAAGGACACAAAACGGCCTTTATTTGGACGACTTCGGATCATTTCGGGTTCCGAACAGCGGACTGAACATAGGGCAAATCATCAGAATTCTTTGGTGTCCAAGCTACAAGTCGTCGTACCCAGTTTTTGAGTGGAAAGACAATCCACAGGAGAAGGGAAAGACATCCATCTGCATTCGAATTTGGACTCACATAGAGGTTGGGTTGAAGTGGAAACTTCACCCACAAAACGCTAATCAGTGGTGTGATCCCAACACGTTGTTAGAAAAATACCATGCAGGCGATTCAGACACAGAGAAATTTATTGATCCTTCCAAATTGAAGCTGATGCTCCCCAGACTCGAAAAACTAGAAGAAGAAAGATTACAAAAACAAAGAAGGGCTAAAGAACAAGAAAGACAAGAAGTGAAAAAGGGTGCACCAGAGAATTTATCAAAAGAGCTCCTAAAAGAAATTCTGACTGAGCATGGAATAACATTCAAAAAAAGTGCAACTAAAATGGAACTCATCAACAAAGTCCTTGACTTCAGAAGACAATTGCAACAACAGGCAAACGTAACAACTGAAATGGAAAACGACGGTCGCGAAACAGTAGGTGAAATTGAAGTTACACATCTTGATGAGCCAATTAGTGATTTTGCTTTTATGCCAATATTTAATCAGTCATTTCATAAAACGTCCGAAACAGAGCAGAAATCTGCCCACAAGAAAGCTGCACGTGCGGCAAAGTCAAGAATGATCTCCTGTGTACTATATTTCTTCGACGAAGAACATGAAAGAAAACTCATAATCATGTTACACATTGTTTTTCTTCTTGCGCTGTTTTCGCTTTTCTTAGATTTTTCTATGGTTCACTATATTACGGTGTTGTTGCACTCTCTGATATACCAGGCAAGTGGTCTGAGTGCTGTAGAGTGCCTTGTGTATCCTACTCTGAAAGCACACTACAATAAAAAATCGATACTCACTCAACTTTTAGACATAGATTTTTATTGATTTCCAATACCAATCAATTAATTGTTATTGATTATTATCGATTTTATTGATTATTGATTATCATTGAATGATATCGCCGGGAAATCAATGGTGTGAACTCGTTGCTCTTTTCAGAAGAGCCAAACCAGAACTGAGCATCATATTTAAAATGGTAGGAAGTCAACAAAAAATGCGGTTTTGAAACAAAATTAATAACTATATTATAGCATATTAATAATACTTATAAGTAATGATGGTTAAATACAGGGATCCCACAGTCCTTGAAAATCTTGGAAAGGAATAGGCCCTGGGAAGTCCTTGAAAATCATTGGCTGGGGTCCTTGAAAATCCTGGAAGGGGAAAAATATAGTGTAAGTTTTATTTGAAACAGAAGGTCCTTTAATTTGTTGCAAAATCTGGAAGTCCTGGAAAAGTCCTTGAATTTCACATCGATTTAAGAGTGGGGACCCTAGGAATAAATTTTATTCTGAAAGAGAGCAACAGAGAAAGAAGCTGCTAGGCTGCACAAACAGTATCAAGCAATTTTGCTGTATTCCTTTTAAGATAGCAGGGGGGCAGTATAAAAAGAAGGAACCATTTTATTGGGAACGAGAGGGGGGCTATAAAAGAAGTCGCCAGGTCATCATGGGTCCCTGAAGACTACAGTTGTTTTGACCAGGTCCCCTAAATGGCTTTGAATCATAGATAATGGATGACATCCACAATCGATACAGCCATTTAATGTATTGTCTGGATTTCATGTGGCTCGACACTGGACTGTTTTCAGAAGTTAAACATGCCAAAGGACCTCCACACATTGCGTAAAGGTTCAGGTAAAATAAGTTACATGTTGCTGACGATGAAGAAATTCCATAACTAAGCAATTGTTTTTATTGAACATACTTAAGCAGCTGAAATATGACAGCCAAAGCTTGATTTTGGCATAGATGAGAGAATGTTTTCCAACTTGGCATCAGTCACCTGCCAAATTTTTTTTAAAATCAAAACGCAAAAATAAATGAAATCAACATGGCAGCTAAAATGTGTCCCCCAAAAAATTTGCACTTGGTGACATTGTGCAGTTGCAGGCTATTGTTGAGCACTATACATAAACTAAATTCTGGATCACATCTTTGAAACACTTGCAATACAGCTCAACGAAAGAGTGGACAGTATCAAAGTTTACCTCAAGTTTATGAATTCAGGCACCCAGATCCAGCCTACCCCATTACATGCAACATCTTGGCAGCTTTTCGAGGAGTCAATCTAACCATGAACAGAATTCAATAGAAAGATCAGCAAAGTCAGAGTGAGCATGGAATGGAGCTTTGGAAATATCTGCCAGAATTTTGCTTACTTAGATTTAAAAAAAATCTGAAACTTCAAGTCCAGCCAGCAGGAAAGTATTACCTTGTCGCAGCCATTCTGATCAATTGTCGTACTTGCCTGTACAGATCTAAAAGAAGCTCATGTTTTGAGCTGGAACCGCCAACACTTACAACATACATGTCCAATCGGTAAACAGGCAGGCCTTCAAATATTACTATTTTACTTTGATTATAAAATGTTACGTTTTTAGCAAAAGAAAAATAACCACTTCGCATTTCATTGCAACTTCTTCAATCATTTTAAGAGTCTCTGCTACCAGAGATTATGCTGATCTGGATCTCCCAGCACTGAATGGAAACAGTTCAACAATTGTTAAGAGTACTTTCATGAAATCTTTAATTTCAATTAACAAACTTTACTTTGTACTTAAAAGCATCCTACAAAACTATTCAATGTTTTCAAACTGTTCTAACACAGTAATTATTCCAGGATTTTACATGTTACATTAAAAAGACAGTTGGAAAGATGTCTGAAGGTGGTCACATTAACAACTTAATATCAACATTTAAATGAGTTTCCTTCTCTCAGCACATTCTTAATAATGTGCGTACCTGATGATGCTGGCCCACAATATAAACAAAAGATACATGTATGGCCCTAGTTTGAATATCACACTGTAGTTAAATAACGCTTCACTGTTTCCATTCTGTCTAATTTTCGGAAAGTAAGCTGGTCTTTTGTTGCATAAAGTGCAGACACATAACTTATACAATCCCCTAAAACAGATGAGGATGAGGAGACATTCAATAGGGATGCAGATAGACCGCCATGGATTGATAAAGAGGTGTTATTGTTAATTAGAGAGAAGAACAGAACTCAGCGGAAAGCTAAGTTAAAAGATTCTGTAAATTTGTAGGAAAGATTTTGTGAACTTAGACAACAGGTTAAGAAAATGTCTAAATTTGGAAAGCGTAATCACCTCACTAAGTTTAGTTGTTCCTAAAGGGACAATCCTTGCAATTTTGGTCATATTACAAAGTGATTACCAAACAACTAGAATTCGCGGGGTTATTAAACATGAATCTGTACAGGCTACCAGACCTATTGATCAAGCTTGTTTATTTAACCTGTTTTTTCACTCAGTTTTTGTCCCACCTGACTCTAGCAGCGCTGCTGTATGTCTACCCAGACTCAACTACAGCGTTAAATGAGAATTATGTGAAGTGTGCCTTAACCCTAGCAACATTCTTTAACAGCTTCAATCACTTGACGTTAACAATACTTCTCTTGGTCTTCCCAGTAAGTTATTGCATGCATGTGCTAATGAAATTTCATCTTTGTTATACACATTATTCAATTTGTCCTCAGAGCTTGCGACATTTCCTGAAAAATAGAAGGATGCAAATCTTGTCCCTATTCATAAATGTGAGTCTAAGACAATTGTTTCAAACTACTGTGGCATTTCGCTTCTTGATGTTCTATCTAAAATTTTGGAAAGACAGGTTTTAGCATGATTTGCCCGCATCTTACCCACTGGCAGCATGGTTTTCTACCAGGAAAATGCACTGTCTCAACTATCTCCAGTTGTTCATCAATTAGCTTACGCTTCTGAGAGGAGACAACAAGTTGACGTTATTTCTTTTAGATTTTTCTAAGGCTTTTCATCATGTGTCTCACGAAATACTCCTGTTAAGCTTGAACGTTTGGTGGATCCTTGTTAGTTTGGTTTAGATAATATTTATCGGGTAAAAGACAGAGTCATGATAGATAACATGTCATCTGATTTCCTCCCTGTAACATTTGGAGTCCCGCAAGGGTCAGTTTTGGGGCCTTTACTGTTCTTGCTTTTTACTGGGCTGCCTGTGGCACAGCCCAGTTATAAATTCGGCTCGGTTTTTCCTGGCACAAATCGCACTCTGGCATGTTCAGTGTGTGCACGAGATATAAGAGTATGTGTAGAATAGGTCAGCCGTCTTCAGTGGAGTACATTTAAAAGATTGCTTGAGTACATTTTGGAAGTGGCATAATTCATGAGCTATACGAGAGACCCATTTATGAGCGAACTCTTCCGAGTGAATCTTTTATTGAGAAGATTGTATATTAAATGAGCTAACTACTGTGTTTGAATCACTAAGAGAATCTTCTATATTTAATGTTAAAATTGAAACTGTTGGGTACTCAAACATTACTAGCAACTGGATCAGTGAAATTCAACAGCGTGTTTCTGTTAAACACAACAGACTTTTAGAAGAAGAAACAACAAGGGAATTCAGTACTTTAATTGCCAGGTTTTAAGTAACAATATCCTGTTGTATTAATTTCGTGGATTTTATCTTTCTTTAATTATTGTAATCGCGTATTTAGTGATCAACCATCTCATGTCGCATTTAGATGTTTATACAGAGGCTGTTGTTATTTCAATGTTTAAAGAAGGTGATGTATTAGATAAAAGAAATCAATCGACCGCAAATGTTTACAGTGATTCTGTAGTAACAACAAAGGTGATAGAAGATACAAGATCTCGCTATGCAAAGTATGTTAATTTTGGTAGGCCATGGAAAGATAAAAAGTGTGATCGTGAGCCCAGTAGATTACCATTACGTTTTCTGAAACATATATCAAAGAAAAGCAAAAAGCTAAGGGAAATTGTTTATGATTTTTGTTCCTTCAAATACACCTACATCCTCTAGCCTACATAGTTATGTAATGGTCCGAAAAATTATAAGTTATGGGACAAATAATAATGCAACAGTTTCAAAACAAGAGAAGTGGACAAAGCGATTTCGTTAAGGCATATTAAAGTTGAAATATCTATATCAAGTTAGTCAATATTTATCATTTTTTTTTCATGTAATAGGCCAATGTCAGTTTATAAGACTCGTAACCACATAGTAAAAACTTGTAAATTTAGACTTCACACAGATATGGAGAAAAATCCGGGACCTTCTTTGCTACTAACAGACCCTTGGAAAACAATAAAAGCACCATATAGCCAAGGAAATGAATTAGTATTTGGACAAAATGCAGGACAACAATGTGTAGCGATGAGTTAGTGTTCTTTGATCTGTAATAAAAAATGGGAATAAACTCGTCTGATGATATTGTACAGATAATGAATATTGGAAATCAGCTTTATTCAACTTTGTCTCGATTAGCAAGACAGACTTAGAGCGATTTTCGTATGTCCTTGAAAAATGGTTTCGGTAAGTGTTCGTTAGTTGTTTTGTCAGCCAATGGTTGAAAAGAACAAAACATGGACTCTTCGTTTTCCCGCCAAAGAAAACCCTAATATGGAGAAGGCATTGTTCGATTGACCAATCGTGTTGCAGTATGACGTCAAAGCGATTTCTAGAAAGTTCTTCGGGCATGAAGTTTTTTTAGCCGAGCGTTCGCTTAACCAACCAAAAGCCAGTTGCGTTTGTATCCGTTCGATAAACCAATCAAATCGCTCTATTTCCGTTCTTTTGTTGTTTCTGTTTTGTTCGCGCGTTTTCATTTCAAGGTCATACGAAAATCGTTCTATTTAATGATGACTGAGTTACCTACAATAGTGGATGTATTTGACAGTACTTATCAGTTTAGGTTCAGTGAAAGCTATAGTGGTACTCTAAATCAAGAAACTTATATGGAAGGATATCAGTACTGCATGTCTTTGAAAACAGCCTTTGAATCCTTGATATCAGAGAACTACACATCTTTTATATTAACGATCTGAAGTATTACTGTTGCAGTTTACTTCACTAGCAATGAAGTATTTAAATATTTGATTCTCATGCAAGAGATCTGTACGGTAAGAGCCATCCTCAAGGTACATGCGTACTTTAAGAAGTATCATCAGTAAATAACATAGTACAATATTTTCAAAGTATACATAATAATCACAGTATTTTCGAAGTCAGTAAAGGAATTCACGTTAACGAAGTTCAAAATAGCATTATCAGTGTACCAGTTATTCCTGAAAGTGATGCAAATGAAAACAATTTTAATCTCAGTTTTGCTGTAGCAATATATTCACTTTGTTATACAGTGATGGTACCTTGTAGTTACTGGAATACAAATGCAGTAGCCACTATCGCGGAAAATGGCATTAAACTATACCGGCTACTTTCGAACAGAAAAGAAACATTAGATTGCTTAAAGAAAATTGTCAACATTTATGAAGCTGAAATATGTGTCAACCTTTTGAATGCTAGTAGTAGAGGGGTATTCTTATCTGCCTCACGTCAATGCACATCAGTGTTGGAGGATATTATAATAAATAATTCAGAATGTACGGGTTTTTGTTGTGGTTTGGTAATTATTGTATCAGCTGTATTTCAAGAGCCACAAGGAGATCAAAGTATATGTATTCCATGATGAAAGTCAGGTCCCTCCAATGCAATTTATTCAAAGTATAAAAAGTATAGCTTAACTGTTAAGGTAATCAACTCTATACAAAAGAAAAATCAACAAACAGACAATTATGAAATACAGTTTTTATGTTGTTCATGCAATTATCGCGGCAGAAATGAATGCCAAACGATTATGAAAAATCAACACGCAAAGATAGATTATCATTCAATGGAACCTTCTAAAAAGAAAAAGAAACGTCAACTATTGAAAAAAAAAGCTGAAAAGTACAGATCAATGGATAGTACAAAAACACAGGAAGTAATTAATAACATGCAACAAAGAAAGAAAAAGAGTTGCCTAAAAGATAAGAGCGAAGATATTGCTTCCTGTATTCAACAGTTTAAAAAGAACCTAAAAGAAGATCCATATCACATATGCTGTGTGTGTAATAGAGATCGGTATAAAAAATCTGTCTTAAAATTAATCACTAGTAACTATCCCCACCAAGATATTTTTACGAAACAAGAATCATATGGTAAAGAAGAGTACATCTGTAAAATGATACGAGGGAAAGTTCCATGTCAAGCAGTTGTTAACAACTTGGATATTGATGACATTCCAACAGAACTGAATTCACTTAAAAAACTACAACAAATTTTAATAGCACAGGGTATAGTATGTGAAAAGATTGTTGTTATGCCTAAAGGACAACAAAAGAAAATTAAAGGAGCAATTTGTAATGCACCAGTTGAATGTGATCAGACATGTAGCATATTACCTTGGCCACCAGAAAGTTCCGGAATAATTCTCCAAAAATTTAAAAGAAACTGTAGTTCCGAGGACATGTTTATTTTGAAGCAGCAAGGCCGGAAACCGTAATGACAGCATTAGGATGGTTGGAAGCAAACAATCCTTTGTACAAAGATGTAGAGATAAATTGTTCAAATATTGGTCTGGATCTTACAAATATAGCTAGTGACAATGAATATATTGACAATTTTTTAATAGACAACAACGCAACAAACAATTTTGGTGATACATCTGGAAGTTCCTCAGTAAATTCAAATGTTCATGAACAAACACAAAATTATGAAGAAGAAATAGACGACCCCTTAAATAATTACAGATCACCAGCCAATGAGAGATGTCTGCAATCAAAAATTCCTGATTATCCTCTTATAACTGAACAAGATAACGGGAGTATTTCTACTGGAAGAGAAATTTACAACATAGCACCCAGTGAAAATAAACATCCAGTGTCTTTTATGACTGACAAATTATGTGAAGAACTTGCATTCCCCAGTGTTGTTCCCAAAGGGGAGATTTGGTTATACTGCTTCCCGTGACATCAAATTATCACCAGTGAAATACTTCAATACCAGATTGTTGCATTACAGTGGGCGTTTTGCATCAAACCCTGAATATCTTTTCTTTGCTCAGTTTATAATAGAACAGAAAAAAGTATCTGATAGTACAAACATTGCTAACAAGAAAGTTCATGGGAAACCAGTAACAGCTTCCCAAGTAAGATCAAACACACAAGTACCACAGAATCTTATTTCTCAAGATCAGGCATATTTATTTTTGAGGCAAATTCCAGGTTCTCCTCCAGCAATGGTGAAACAGTTGGGTATACCAACATGGTTTATGACCTTATCATGTGCTGACTTAAGATGGCCTGAACTATTTAAAATTATTTCTAGAAGTAGCCGTACAACAGACTGATCAAAATGTAGATGCTTTGTCATATGATGAGAAATGCAGGCTTATTAATTCCAATCCAGTTATCGTAGCAAAACACTTTCAGTACAGGGTTGAAACATTTTTTACTGAGGTTTTACTTTCAAATGCAAATCCAATAGGTAAAATTTTGTATTATGCTCTTTGTATTGAATTCCAGATGAGAGGGTCACCTCATTTACATGCACTGATATGGACATCCGACCGCCCAAAACTAACCTATGATAGACAAAAACAAAGATGTAGAATTATATGAATTGGTAAAAAAATATTAAACACATAATCACAGTAAAACATGTAGAAAATATGAAAATATTTCACGTAGATTTGAATTTGGACATTTTTTTACAGACACCACTATTGTGGCAGAACCTTTACCGGAAGATATGGATCCACAGATAAAACTGACATTTTGACAAAATGAAAGGAGATTGTAAGTCTAGTAAAACAAAAAATAGATGAATCTCTCAATCCAAGCAAGGCAAACTACAATCCCATGTTGACTCCTGATGACATATTTCAAGAACTTGGAATTACTAAGGAACAATATGAAAAGGCTCTGTCTCTATCACCTGATTCTGACTATGACCTGCATCTCAAAAGACCATTAAGGGATTTGCTGCCAACGTAGACTTGCAACCTGTTTTCAACCACTATAAATGCACAACCTATGTTTGTTCATATTTTACTAACAATGAGACAGAATGCTCGCAAGCTATCATGAATGCTTCAAAAGAGGCAAGAGAAATAAATCTAAATGTTCGAGATGGCCTTTGAAAAATTGGAGCTGCTTTCTTATCTTCAAGAGAAGTAAGTTCACAGGAATGTGTTTATAGGTGTATGCCTAAACTTTGGCTAAGAAAAGTATTTCCAAAAACTATTTTTGTTAATACCAAATTCTCAGATAAACTATTATGAGTAGCAAGGAGTCAGCAAGAACTTGATGAGTTAGACGATGAAAGTACAGATATCTATAAGTCAAACATCATTGAGCAATATAGCTTAAGACCAGCACATGTTAAATCTGTAAATGATATGTACCTAGCTGAGTTTGCTGCTTACTATTATAAGGACTACAAAACCGATCACTGTGAAACGGTAGATGCTCAGCCAGAAGTTCTTAGTGATGATATTATTGAACAGTCACATGTCTGTGTAAATGATGATGCATCAGTAGTACCTAAACAAATAAGGTTGAAAAACACAAATGAAGTTATGTAGAAAAGTTAGGGCCGTCATAAGATACCACACTTCAAATAAAGCAAGGGAACCTGAAAAATATTTCCACCATCTTATTCTTTACCACCCATGGAGACAAGAAACAGAACTTCTCGGTGAAGAAAAAACTTACATGTCTTAATTCAATGTGTCAGATGTCCAAACTATTGTACAACAGAATAGAAATATATTCGAGCCAGATTCAGAAGCTGTTATAGAAGCACTTGAGTCTTTAAGAAAAAGTAACATCAGAACGTCGTACTCATTCGATCCTATAAATGATCAGGAAAATCATGATGTACAATTTGATATTGCAAATAGTAGTTATGAAGAGTCCTTTGATAACCAGATGACAGGAGATCAACTTTTTTCGTCAAATGAACAAATTCCCAGAGCAATGTCAACTTATATTCAAGTGTCAGAAATATCTGATGATGATCTTCGCCAGTCAGTGAGATCATTAAACTCTCAGCAACGTAAACCATACAACATAGTGCTAAGTTGGTGTAGAAACAAAGTAAAAAACATGGGCACTTTAAAACCAGTTCAATTATCACCTATACATCTGTTCATTGCAGGAGGAGCTGGTGCAGGAAAATCTCATCTTATAAAAGCCATATACCATACTGTTACAAAGAACTGTGAACATGCTGTTATAAACTCCAAATTACCAACAGTATTGTTAATGGCGCCAACAGGTGTAGCCACTATAAATATAAGTGAAACAACCGTACATTCTGCCTTAGGAATCCCTACAGAGTCAGGTATAAAGATTACTCCAATGTCAGATCACAAAAGAACACAATTAAGGTTAGCTTTGCCGAGTTGAAATTGATAATCATTGATGAAGTTTCAGTGGTGTCAAATATTACTCTACTGCACATCCATCAAAGACTTCAAGAAATATTTGCTGCACCAACTAATTGACTGTTTGCGGGACTTAATGTTATTGTTGTAGGTGATTTACATCAATTGGGACCCATTCGATCTGGACTAATATTTGCTAATTATTCAGATGATGCGTACAACATATATCATCCTTGGGTAGTTTTTGCAATGATCGAATTGACAAAATATGAGACAGAAAGATGACTAGGCATTTACCAAAGTCTGCAACAGGTTCAGAACAGCATCACAGACTGAAGAAGATATTGCGATTATTCAGTCAAGGTCTGTAAGTCCAACAGATCCAAATTGCCCATCGCATGCTTTACATATCTGGGCTGAGAATGCTCCAGTTGATGAAAACAACAATAAACATCTTCAACAACTCAGTGGCCCTGTGTACACTTTGGAGGCTGTAGATCAATACCCTAGTAATTTAGCAAAACGACACATTGATAAAGTGTTATCCAAGGGGAGATCAGACAATAGTGGACTTGATGCTGAAATTCAAGTGAAAAAAAAAACGCTAGAGTGATGTTAACTGTAAATGTAGATGTAAATGATAGACTCCTCAATGGGCAGATGGGGACAATAGCAAGGATAGTCATAAACCAAAATACAAATAAAGCATCTGTAATTTTCATTAAGTTTGATGACTGTCAAGTTGGTGTTTACGCAATATCAAAATGTACAGATAGATAAGCAAGAGAGAACAATGCAGTACCTATTCAACCTGTTTTAGCAAGAATTAAAGTCACACCTGGAAAATCATAAATAGAAATAAAAAGATGACAATTTCCTATTACATTAGCATGGGCCTATACAGTGCACAAGGTACAGGGATTAACATTAAATGACGTTGTTGTTAACTTTGAATTGCAAAACCAAGAGTTTTAACCCCAGACAAATTTATGTCGCATTGAGCCATGTAACCTCTTTTCAAGGTCCGTATATTTTGGGTGATATAGAGGACAAACATATAAAAGCCAATCCAAAAGTACACTTTGAATATCAGCGATCAAGAC